TTTTTTCTCCGGTACCGGGAACCGAACTCACGACCTTGCGCTTGCCAGGCAGGCGCTTTTGCCGCTGAGCTAAATCCCCAGCCCCCTCTTATTCTCTTAAAAGTTACCACCACTTTTCCTCAGAAAAAATTGACTTCAGAAAGTCCTTTTATTCTTCTCATAGGGAGCAGGAAATGAAAAGCAACATGGAGGGACGGAGATATGGCTCAGAGGCACAGCGCCTGGCAAACGCAAGGTCCTGAGTTGGATTCCCGGTACCAACAACAGCAACAAAAAAGGAACAGCAGCATGGAAAGGGAAACACCCAAAGCAAAATATGAAGACAGACTGCAAAATAGGCTGGGGGTGTAGCTCAATGTTAAGAGCATGTGCTTAGCACGTGGGAGGCCTTGGTTTAATCCCCAGTACAAAAAAAAGGGTTAATATTTAGTGAAGTTTTCTATGTGCCAGGTACTGCACGGAACATTTTGCATAGCTTGTTTCACTCCACCCTATGAAGATACTATTCCGCTACTTTATGGAGGAGTAAACTGAAGTCCAGAGAGGCCAGCTTGCCAAAGGCTATATGGATTATAAGTGGCTTCTACAGTCTTTAGATTCAAAGAACTCCGAGCCCTTATCCTATAAACCGCCTTGAGATTTGGTTCTCGCACGAACAAGGAAGTCTGTGAATCTACATGAACCAAGAGGGTAGCCCATAGCCTAGGTACCTTCAACAGACTGAACAACTGTTCCTGAAATGCCTGAGAACCCTGGAACTCTGTTAAAACCTAGATGCAAAGTGTCAGGTTAACTGTAACGAGGGGGAGGGGCTGGAGTAACTAAACCTGTACCTATCATCTGGGGATAAATTGTAACTAGGAAGGTATGCTTATACCAGAATTAAAAGTTGGGGATGCGAGGGTGGGGGGACCGCGACACATACCAAGGAGTAGGGTAAAGATTTACTTTAGTTCATTGCTTCTCAAACTAACATTCATTGGCTTTCCAATAGCCCACATAAAGCGGGACTCTATAAATTTTCTGGGACCAGGCAGAGAGGATCTAATTGCAGGAGGTAAGGGCAGAGCCCATGGATTTGCATTTCCTTCCTTTTGTTCCCTTTTTTGTTTGTTTGTTTTTCTCCGGTTCCAGGAATCGAACTCACGACCTTGTGCTTGCCAGGCAGGCGCTGTGCCCCTGAGCTAAATCTCCAGCCTCCATTCCCTCTTTTTTGAAGTGGTGCTGGTCTGAGCATTGAACCGAGCCTCCTGCATGCAAAGCAAGCACTCTAGAGCTGAGGCCTACATTTCTCATTTCTAACAAATTCATAGGTGCTGCCACTGCCACTGATCTGAGAATCACTACCTGAAGCCATTTTCACCCAAAGCTAGTAAAGATAAACTTTACAAGGCGGTATACTTTCCCTTCCCAGAGGAATTTAAACCAAAGCCCCAAGGAACCCACAACATGCTAACTCAGCAGGCAGGGACCAGTGCACAATGATCTTGGTCCAGACCCTATTCAAAATTCTTTTTCCCTCAGAGTGGGCTTATACTAGTTAGCTCTCAACCTATTGACTGGTAGAAAACATATTGTTGATGAAATGTGTGATGACCAAAACTTGACACACCTTTCCCTTTGGCTAAGTGTGCTGTAATCAATAAGTTGCTGGAACCCTGCTGGTCTGCTAACAGTCATGAGTCTCTGTAACCATCTCAGGTCCCAAATTGGCTCCTTTTCCTGCTTGTTCAACAGAAAAACTTACCTCAATCTATTGTCACCGACATACCAAGTCCAAACAAGTTTGCCTTCATTTAGAAAGCTGAAAGGGACAAATGATTAATCCTTTTTTGTTTGGGTGCAGGTTTTGTCTCCTAAGAATGTTTGTGTCATCTGGAAATCCTCCTGACAAGGAAATCGTATTACTACATTGAACATGGAGCTACACTTTGTTTTTACTCTGTACCTTTACAGAACTGTTTATTCCAGCCCTTGAAAGGTACAGCAAAGGGTTCTTCAAAGAAGAATCTCAGTCCGTAGGTATCTGATGTATGGTGACATACTCAACTGATAACCATTGGCACTGACTTTTTTTTTTTTTTTTTGGGGGGGGCGGGGTTTTCTCCGGTACCGGGAACGAACTCACGACCTTGCGCTTGCCAGGCAGGCGCTTTGCCGCTGAGCTAAATCCCCAGCCCCTGGCACTGACTTTCTTATATAAAGTCAGTACCTATGTTGTGTACCATGTGGACATTACAAAAGCCAATAGTTATATACCAAGGGTTGCTAAACTCAAGCCAAGACTGGATATTCTGTTAAAGTGTTCCTGGGTTAATTGTTCTGTGAACAGGGACTTGTAAATGACTTTAGCTTGGGATGGAGGTAAGAACAGAAGTAGTACACAGAGAAGACCGAGGAACATACACTGATGCTGGAAAATGTAATAGAGGACTCAAAAAGCTTATCTGTGTTCAAGGAAATCTGTATTTCCACTGTACTCTTAAAGATCTAACAATTGGAGCAGTTGCTCCTACAAAAGGAATCAACCAACCAAAAATGCCTCTGCCCAAAATGGAAAACCCATCTATTTTCAGCAGAGGGATTTAGAAATTCTATTTCGCATGAGAGGCTTAATTGTAAGATGAATTATTAAATGTTGAATATAGTAATAAAAATCGCCACTGGATTTTGAATTGTTAAAACAAACAGCTCATTTCGAATGCACACACCAATTTTCTTGCCAAGTTACTTGCAATTTTCCAAAAATTTTTTTTCCTTCGGGGAGAAGGAAAAGTCCAAGTTCAGCCCAACATCACCACCTAGTGGTGGGACATGTTTATAGTGCTTTCTTTCCTTAAAACACAGACCCCCTTTGATTTTTCTTACCAAACTGCTAAAGGAAAGATCAGGACAGTTTCTCACGATGTGTAAATGGAAAAGGAGTACTGACAAGTTCAAATTAAATTAAAACCTTTATTGAATAAAAATGTCCCAGACTAATCAAGACAGTAAGAAAACAGAATATTTTACATCTCTAAAAATTAGGGCTAAATATAAAAGCAGTACAAAGAAAAGCCTGTATCTTGAAATACCTCTTCCTCCCCTACATACAATTTGGAATATCAATTATGTACAGCAAATGTGCTCAAGCTCATATGTTCCAAGCCTTAATACTAAAGAAAACCATCCCAATAAAAAGGCCTATCGCTGGTTTCATTTCATTCTGGGAACACAGTCTGCCATAAACAGCCAATACACTTCAGAGCTAAGTATTTAAAAATTCGTGTTTTAGAAAGGGGATATCAGAAGTGAAGTACAGGTTTGGAGAGCTGAGCTTAAGTGGGTTAAGGCAGTTCTTTCTGTTATTCTTCCTTTGAACTCACTTTGCTCTAACATGGAGCTTGGTGAATAATGATCCAAAGGTCTTACAAAAATATCGCAACCTTCAGTAAATTGGGAGAAGCATGGATAGCACAAAAGGGAAAGCAATCACTTAGGGTGTAGTCAAACTCATTGGCAAATACCACAGCACATTTGGGAGACAGTGGATCTCTCCAAGCCCCAAAACTTTTAGGTTGGTTCTTCAACTGTCTCAAAAGGTGCTCTGAAAAAGTGGCTATCTTGTACCTCAATAATTCAATTCAAGATGTACAGAGTAGGATGCAAAGTGATAAATTCCCCATATAATCAGAGTAAGAAAATTAACCTAAAAAAATTTTAGAAGAGTAAATATTTCATCTCTTAAGAGCTGAATACTAAAAAAATCAAATTGGTATTCCTTTAAAAGTATACAAACTGTGCCCTTTATACTAAAGTGCATTCAATCATAATGTTTAGACCCTTAAATCCCTTGTGTATGTTCTCTTATTTCCACAATAGTATCTGTAGTATAAAAATGTACTATTAACCATCTATCTAATATTATCTTTTGGGAATACAGTGGAATCTAGATTATATCAGTTGGAATATTTCCCTGCTTATAAGCACTTATGCATATCATCATGGCTAAAATTTAAGATTTAAGAAATGTTATCTTTAGCACTTAGAACTGGTTTGTGTTTTTTGTTTTTGTTTTGAGACAGAGTCTTGCTATAACTCAGGCTGGCCTTGAACTCGAGGGTGATCCTGCTGGGATCACATGTGTGCAGCATGACTCGAATTGGTTTACTGCACTATGTTTCTTTTTTTTTTTTGGTAGCAGGAATTCATTTCCAAGTTGCTGAAAATGACAGTTCATGTTAGGGTTCTTGTCTCTTGCATCACTTTGACAAAGGGCAGCGGTTCACTAACACTAAGATGGATTCAAGGCCTGCTGCAGGCTGTCATTCCTCGTCATCGTCATCCTCATCATAGTACCGATTTCTCTTTATCTGCTCTTCTACAGACAGCTCTTTGACCACTTCTCCCTCCCAGAACCCTGTATCCTGGGATTTCTGATTCTGAGTACTGAATTCTTTAGTGGAGGTGTCATCTGCAAAGCTGGACCAGTTTGCAGTCTTGGGTTCTACTGGAGACTGCTCTTTGAGGAGGCTGCTATAATCATCATTGAGGTTTGCAGCATTTTCTAGAAGATTCTCACTTCCCATCTCAAAACTGTGAATTTCCCTACTTCTCCTCCCCAGCTCTCCTCTTTTAGATTCCTTATTCTGCCAGGTCTTTTTCTCCACGCTGTCACTCTTCTCGGGAACCCTGGCATTTTCTACTTGTTTCCTTTCTGCTACTACCCCTTCTGCAAACTCCTCGCTCTGGTCTGACATGCTCCAGCCTTTCCTGATAGGTGGGGACAAGTTTTTGGGGCTCTTGACAGAGGAGGTTCGGAATGAAGCTGCGACCGTGAACGGGCGGCTTCTCTCCCTCAGTGAGGAAGACCGTCTCAGCTTTTTCAGATCCAGATCTACGTCCTCAGGAGCTTCCGGCTTGTTCGCGTCATCCTCAGGGGGCCATTTCGGTTTAGAAACTTTGATTCCTTCCTCCAAGGTACTTCCTGAGCTGCTGAGCTCAGCTGGGGGAGGCCAGGCGATCTTCAGCTTCTTGGTCTCCGCCGGCTTGTCTTCCTTTTCCGGCTGGGAGGAGGCCTTGGCTTCCATACTCGCAGCCAACACACCCACCTTAGCAATGGGGGCATCTTCTACCCCAGGGCTCTGCGGCATCTCCGCCGCATTGGGAAGCTGGACTGGTCGCTCCAAGGACTCCTCGGTTTCATTTTTGTTTGCCCACAGATCCTTGTGTGGTCTGTGCCCAAAGCCTTCATCATAGTTGCCTTTAGATTTAAAGAGTTGATTGAAGTGAGGCTTACAGTAGATTCTCCCATGTAAAGATGCATATGTCCCTAGACTGTCATCAAAAGAATAAGAACAGAAAGTTAATACATCTTAAGATTCTCATTTATATCAGCAGGCTAACATCGGGCATTTCTAGTATTTTCAAAAGATGCCAAGTGAGAAAAATATCTTTAAAAGCACAGCAATGAACTACAATTCTCGCCAGGTGTGGTGGCACAGGCCTATAATCCTAACGCTCGGGAGGCTGAGGCAGGAGGATCATTGCAAGCTCAAGACCAGCCTGGGCTACAAAGTGATCTCAAGGCCAGCCTGAAATGTATAGCAAGACCCTGTCTCAAAAAGACCAAAAAAAAAAAAAAAAAAAAAAAAAAAAAAAAGAAAAAAAAAAAGAAAAAAAACAACAAAGAATTGTCTACCTCCTTTTAAACACATATATATTTTTAATCCTTATATGAAACACGCTTGTTTCCAAGACTAAGCCTTCACAATTCACTCTTCCACTTGGTATACGCTCCCCATTTTCAAGTAACTTTACTCTCCTCTGTCAACAATTTTTTTAATTACCTTTTTTCCCAAGAAGTCTTCCCTAGGTAATCATACCTAGCTCTGATCACTTTTACACTTCCTCTGTATTTATAACCTGTAACTACTTATAATGATGTCCTGTACTAAAAAGCCTCAATCTGTCTTCTTACTTTCCCATTTGTGCCATGATTTAAAAGCATAATCTACAAGAGTGCATATAGGGCTCTGAAAATAGTTGGCACTCAATAGCTATTACTGACTGGATAAAAGGAAGCTACGGGGCCAGAATACAGTTGGGAGGGAGGGTGCAAGGCTCTAGATCTGTCCTCGGTGTGTGCGCATGCACACACACATACAGGCACTAAGCAAGTTGTGGTTCATAGTGTAACAGTGAGCGGCAGCCAGGAGGTCAGTCTCACTCAACATCACTGCTGGACAAGTCTATATTTAGTCTCAGAGGGTGTCATGGTTTCCCAAACCCTCATGCCTTCCTAGGCAGGGCTTTGGAGAGGTGACTGGGTTATAGGGGAGTATAAGCTGACTTGCCTTTAGGAGGTGGGGTCTGGTGCAAGAGGTGTGTCACAGTGGTGTGACCCTGGAGAGTATCACCTCCCTTCCCAGGTCCCCCCTTGACTCTGCTTCCTGTCTGCCATGCTGTGAGCAGCTCTCCTCTGCCACAGCCCTCTCTACTATGCCAACCTGCCCTGCAGCCAGCCCACTATGGACTGAAATGTGAGTTAAACCTCTCTTCCTTAAATTGTGGGTGTCGATATTATGTCCTAGCAACTAAGTGACTCAGACATAGGTCAATATATTTTAAAAGGTTATAATAATGAAAGCATTTCCTGAAAATAAATAGTGCACTCCAGAGCAAAAATGAACTTTGCGGGCAGAAAAACAAAAAAACCAAAATAACCCAACTGACTGGAAGTCACAGAGGCAGATTTTGACTCAATATAAGAGGAAGTTATTGCCAGGTATAGTGGCACATGCCTGTAATCTCAGCACTCCATAGGCTGAGGCAGGAGGATCTCTATGACTTTGAGGCCAGCCTGGGCTACATAGCCAGACCTTGTTTCAAACATAAATAAATAAACAGGACGTTGTCTAGTTAGAGTTACCTAATACCAGCACTAGCAATGCTGAGGTATCTCCCCCTTATGTATCTTGCAGGTATCAGGTCATCCTTTGAGTATATTTAGGAGAAATGCTTGTTCTGGAAGGATAGCTGGGCAGAGACATCTTAGCTACTGTCTTCTCTAAGGAGCTGGTAGAAGTGAGGTTTACACTAGATTAGAATGAATAATCCCCCAGCTTGTCACATTTATATCTCTGAGTTACTCAGAATGACACATACTAATTATTTTCTCAGAAGTAAATAAAACAAAGCAACCTGGAGAACGCATGCTCTCCAGGGGCTATAATTATTGCTATTATTACCATTTATACAGTGCTTAAGGCACTGAAATAAGGGTTTAGGTGAGTAACCTCTTGGGGTTTCTTAATTCTATGATTCTATGATACCAAGGGAAAATCATTTACTAAATTAGGTCACAGGGGGCTCTACCTGCAATCTATATTATTTAAATGTCAGTCTTAACATCCAAACAAACATATCAGTGTATTAAGATGCCCCAAACACCACTATCATTTAGCACGAAACACCGGTCAATAAATGTTTTCTAATTTTTCAGGAGCTTCCAAGGCAACACAATTAGCATAACTGCTTTTAGTATCAGTGCCATAAAAGCCAAAGATTCAGGCTGGGCGTGGTGGTGCATGCCTGTAACCCTAGCACTCGGGAGGCTGAGGCAGGAGGATTGTTGTGAGTTCAAGACCAGCCTGGGCTACAAAGTGAGTTCAAGGCCAGCCTGAACTGCATAGCGAGACCCTGTCTCAAAAAGACACACACACACACACACACACACACACACAAGCCAAAGTTTCCTTTGGAGCTCCAAGTACACAGAGAGATGGCGTGTCTTGGTCTGGCTTACCTAAGTTTGTTGTTGCAATAGGAGCAACGGAAGCAGCTGATGTGAAACACCTGTTGGTTGGCCAGGAGGCGCTCCATGGGGTAGACTGTCTTCTGACATTCAACACAGGTCTCTCTGGCAGGTGCCTGAAACTTCTAGGAAAAGGAAAGGGAAAAGGACAACTTTGGAGTAGGCAGTGACGGGCTAATCCTCTGCTAAGATGGGCCCTATGAGTTGTTATCTAAGGGTTCCCTCAGCTGGCCAGTCCGTTCTCACAAGACAGTAACCCTGCGTCCTATCAGCTGACTCTTTAAAGCCAAGAGCTTCTACTGTATTCCTTTCTCGCTGTCTGGCTGCCCTAATGTAACAGCCCCCAGGAAGGTGGGCTCGGGCTGCACTGCTGAGAAAGGTATCGACAAACCACCACACACACACCAGGTAAGTGCACACAAAATGTTACAGGCAGGGGATGGGTAGGGGCAGGGGTTAGGAGGACATGTCACTGTGACACAGAAGAAGACATCTGGTTCAAGTGCCAAGGACGTATCATTATAAGAACAGATTCTGAAGAGGCCAACTTTGAAAGCGAGCAAGAGCATTGGCTTTAGGAATTAGGTAAAGGGAGTTCAATTTCAGTAAAGCGTCTTTTATTCCCCTGCTCCTATAACCTTGATTTGCTCCGTCAACTGTGAGATTTTTTGGGTTTAAAAAATTATTATTATATATCTTTTAGACAGGGTCTTGATATGTTGTTCAGGCTGGCCTTGAACTCGCTACGTAGCCCAGGCTGGCCTCAAACTCACGGCAATCCTTCTGCCTCAGCCTCCTGAGTGCTGGGATACAGGTGTGTGCTACTGTGCCCAGCAAGCATATTTTTAACAAGTCAAAACAAGGGGAACAGTTTACCCGGGACACAAGTTGTTTTGTTAGGCCCAAAAGGCAGAATAGCCCAGTAAGGCTACAGGTCCTATGTTTTTTAAAATCAACAGAGAATAAAAGGAATGCAATGGGGAATGCATTTTGTTTTGTTTTGAGACAGGGTCCTACTATGCAGCTCAGGCTGGCCTTGAACTCAAAGCAGTCCTCCTGCCTCAGCCTCCCCAGTGCTGTGTGCTGGGATAATAAGCATGCACCACCACGCCTGGGAATGCGTTTGTTAATGCTGGGAATTCATGAACAGTTTTCCAAGTGTGGCATAAGAGTGGATGCATTGTATTAACCCGATAAAACTCAACCTTAAAAAATATAAAATAGTTGGTACTCCAGTACCTGTAAAAGCCAGAATTCTAGAAATATCAGGGGAGCCAAGTGGCTCCTAGGTGTGAGCAACCTCTGGCTTGCCCCAACATAAACACCTCAACCAGCAATGCACGAGCAAGTTTAGGTGGCACCCAGACCAGTCTGAGCTCCCACCAGAAGCACATGGTGGTAAATAATACAAATTAATTCCAAGGCTCAGGGTCAGAATGGTTAATCCTAAAATGACCAGGTTATGGGCAAGATAGACTTGATTGAAAAGCCTGAAAATAGGCCTATGAAAATTCAAAGTACTGGTCATTTGCCACAGGATTCACTAGGAGGGAAAACAACACATAGAAATGATTTTTCAAGTACATTTAGACATGGCATGGCAGGTGAGAATTCTGCCTCTGAACCACCAATGCCTACTTGGACAGGACATGGGAACAAAAAAATGAACATAAAATAGGTATGAAGAGAAAGATCTACAAAAGGAGTTTAATAAAATTAGTAATAAACTCCCAAATAGTACCCAAAGGCTTTAAGAATAAATGAACAAAACTGAATGGAAATGTCTAGGTAACAGCAATCCACTTCATGCTAGGAGTAGAGTCCTAAAAAGAAAAATTTGAATACTCAAAAGACCACAGGAGGCCAGACGTGGTGGTGCATGCCTGTAATCCCAGCACTCAGGAGGCTGAGGCAGGAGGATTGCTGCAAGTTTGAAGCCAGCCTGGGCTACATAGTGAGTTCAAGGCCAGCCTGGACTACATAGCAAGACCCTGTCTCAGAAAAGAAAAAAGGACCACAGGCAACAACCTAGTTACCACGCAAAAAAAGAGAAGTATCTAAATGCAACCCAATGTTATTACATTGGATGCTTTTGGAAATAAGGCAGTACTTGGAGCTCAGAATTCTTTCTTTACTTTTTGCATGGATATTCTGAAAAGACTGTACCTAAATGGAAATGTATTTGCATTTGCAGTTTTAATTACATTTGCACAGGCTGGGGATTTAGCTCAGTGGTAGAAGGCTTGTCTAGCAAGTATGACGCCCTAGGTTTGGTCCTTAACACCAAAAAAATTTTTTAAAAAATTACTGAGGATCTTAATTACATTTTCACTGAAAGGACTAGGTGATCCCTGCCCAGCAAAGAGGAGATAGATAAAATGTAGAGTAAGATTTGCATATAATAATACAACTGAAGCCACTGGAAGAGCCTGTCCAAATCACAACTAATTAATGTAAAAGTAATAGAAAAAAAAAAAGAATAGAACAAAAGTATTTATCAAATTTAATTTTTTCCTGTTGCAAAAAGGGCATTCTGTATTTTTAACACTTGAAATAGATTTAAGAGAATAAGCACTTGGTGGGTGTGATTGGCAAAGGCGGAGCTGCAGACAGAAACTTCGCGCTGGTGCGAGAGGCAATGGATGGGGCTGTGCGGGAGGGGGCGGAGGGAGAGCGCGCGCGCCATCAACACACACACCGGGGGAAGAAACACACTGTGGGAGGGTGCAGTCCAGCGAACAGAACAGAGAACGTCAGAGAAAGTGAAGGTTGAGCTCACATTAGGAGGAAAGTAGAAGGCAGGAGCAGAGATTAGGTACCAGCAGCAGGAAGCAGAAGCTGGAAGAGACAAACAGGAACCTTAAATGAATACACAGCATTTGGTGTGCCCTGGAGCGCTGGACCCAGCCATCTGAAACTCAAAAACTCTGACCCGAGAATAAGACCATATTTTCTTGCTGTTTCAAGTAACTCTGCTAATCATGGCAAAATCAGCCTCAGTAGTGTGTACCTGAAGGTGGAACATATCCCACTTAGGAGAACGACCTTTTATGAGCCTTCACCCACACAAGGAGCGTCTCGATAGCACTCTTCAGTGCTCGCTACCTCGCACGCCTGGCCCACTGGGCGTCTCTTTAAGGGAGCTTCACCTATAGAAAAGTCATCTTCCTCAAGATCACATTAATACACGGCCCTCTCAGACGGAGTTGCCACAAGCTCCTAACTAGCCAAACCAGCCTTCCCTACTCCTATTCATTTCTCACACAGTCCCTTTGTGACATTCTCTACGGGTTATGTGGCAGCTGGGACCATACAATGTCACAAAGACAAGAGGACCCCCACATGGGAACATGCCAAGTCAGCGTGGCTGTGGCTCTGCCATCCCTTTATTTCCTGTCCTGGGCTCTCAGCCACTTTTCTGTAATTGCCCCCATGTCTGTTCAAACAGGAAGCATAATCAGTGCCCAAAACTCGCTCCCATTCTCGCAGGCCTGGCACCGCCCGGCCCGTGCCTACATGGTGCGCTCAGCCTCGGCACAGGCACACTTCCAACGCTGCCAGGGAGCCTGAGAGACACTTTTTATCTTTACAATATAGTTTTTCGGTTACAGACCATTTCATCCCTCCTTCCCAAGCATCTTTTACATGTAGAAGATGAAGGACTAAGATGTCAGGTGCTTATCAAAGTGACAGTCACTGGAGCAGCCTTGGAATTAAAACCTGGAACTCCTGATTCACAAACCCACAGAGCATTTTCCAAATTGTCCTAGAATGTGAAATTTCCATAACTAAAGGGAGCTTTTTTAGAGAAGAGAGCAGATGCTAACCCAAATGAAAATAATCTCACTACAACACTTTTTAAAAGCCAGTCTTCTCTTGGTTTTAAATTAAAATGTGTAGATAATACCTTCAGGATATTCTGGAATGAATGAGGTACATATAAATAATTCATGTTCATAAATACTGCCTTTTCCAAATGAGGGATATTACAGAACCCCCTTTGATAAGCATCTACTTAATTTTCCAACAAACCTCCCAAAAAATTTGCATGGCTTCATCTGCATTTCTTTACCCTCATATCTTACGTATTCTTTTTCAGTCTAATGAAAGCCCCGCTTGGGTAGTCTAGTGAAATCAGAAGAAAATTCCATATTGATGTCAGGTCTCCGTTCCTCAGAGTACCACAAATGCCTTTCATTCCCTCTTTCCAATTTTGGCAAAATATCTAGGTAATAAAACTAAAACTTTTCATCATACAGCAAATGGTTGGCTCAGCTCTGTGCAGCTTTTACTTTTCTATGAAACTCTTTGTGAAAGCATTTGAGAGGGTTTTTTTTGTTTGTTTGTTTTTTCTGTACTAGGGATCGAATCCAGGGCCTCTACAGTGAGGTACATCCCAGCTCTTTCTTATTTTGTGACAGGTCTCACTACATTGCTAAGTCGCCCAGGCTGGGCTCAAACTTGTGATCCTCTTGCCTCAGCTCCCTAGAGGGCTGGGAATACAGGTGTGTGCCACCATGCTTGGCTAATATTCATATCTTAAGTAGACTGCTCTATGTATGCAGAGGAAAGGTTCGTGCTCTGAGAAAGACAGAAAAGGTTCTGGGTGCCTTTCTAGGGTAACTCTAGCTTTGTAAAATAGCACGGGACATGGGCTGGGGCTGTAGCTCAGTGGCAGAGCACCTGCCTAACATGTGTGAGGCCCAGGCTTCCATCCCCAGCACCACAGCTGACAGGGCAGGAGGGGCACGGCAACGCCTGTCCTCTCAGAGTCTGCAGGTTTTCTTTCCACAGCCTACGGCAGGACCAGCTGAGGCAGCCTGGCACTGGGCTCTCCTTGGTACAGTGGGGCCAAGAAGGCGTCCCCAGAGCCAGCCTCATCCCCTTGCCCTTTCTCCCTCTGCCCTCTGGGGACATTCGGTGGAGGGACGAGGTGTCGAGTCCCTCTTTCCCCTTTCTTTACTGTGTGATAGCTGACAATGAAATCCTCCGATGAAGCAGAACGAGCGTGATTCTCCTCACAGGGTCTGCTGAGCTCTGCTCTCAGCACAGCACCCTTTCTGAGAAGGAGCCTGCACCTTCCATTTCATCAGCACCAAGTCTCATCAGCTAAACCACACGGCCAGCGTTCAAAGCGAGCAAAATCCTTACTGTACCTTTTTCTTTTTTCACTTTATGAAGCTAAATTTGAAATGAAATGAGTCTCTACCTTAGATGTCCTATTTCCAACAGCAGACAGATGGGCACTGAGGAACAGTTTTTTACGTGGGATCCAAAAATCTATTCTGCGCAAACAAATGTATTTTTAGTTGCATGTAATTTCCCTAAGTGGAGAAACAACTTCTGTTGCAGTCTAGAGCCATGAGAGCAGTTATAGCAACAGGTCTTCTTGTACACATTAACTAAAGTGCCTGGCTTGCCTGCAGACTGTAAAGGGGAGCTCTGAAGAAGAGAAAAGGAAATTACCCTTAAAGAAAAGTGGAAATGTGATTGAGTCCCACCTCAGGCTCGGGGCACCACGACTTGGAGCTTTAGACCGCAGACAAGCATTGGCCAGTTTACTCCAGTCTTTACCCAGTGCTCTAGACTGTCTGTGAAGGCAGGGTGCTTACAGTCTATGCTGAGTGAGCAGGACCAGAGGAGTAGGTGTGGGCTGGATCCAGCTGCAGAGAGAGTTCCACCTCTGTCTACACTCACTGGTGCGCCCAGGAAGACCTACGGGAGATGCGGCTCTGCACAGCACTCATCAGTTCAGACCCTGGAGTTTGCATCAGGAAGGATTTCAACCTAGAACACTCAGTCCAACCTAACAGATGTCTGAGGAATGGCTGGGCTGAGAATTCAAACAGTCTCAAGAACATATTTTAGCGCTTAGATGAGCCAGAGAAACTCCCCAGGTCCCTCAGTCACACAGATATCCATCACCAAGTCAGGTTAGCTCACCATTCTTTTTACTTTTCTTTTCTTTTCTTTTTGGGGAATGCAGTGAGGTAGGGCTGGGTTTTGAACTCAGAACCTGCTAGACAAGTGCTCTACCACTGAGCCATCCCCAACACTTTCTATTTGCCATTTTTGATTCAGAACCACAACTCAAGGACTCACATCTGGGCAAGGTTGCTGCCAGAAAGGAAAGTAACCTTGTGGCCTTTGCTATGTCATTGGCCTCCAGCTGATGGAAAAGGAAAATGCTGATGACAGCATGAGCAGATTTCCAAGGTCAGAAGAGAGTCAGGTGGGATGTGTGTGCAGACTGACTCATCTCAGTTTATTTGTTCTCCCTCTAACCCCCGCCCCCAGTGGCACTGGGGATTGAATCCAGGGCTTTGCACTGAACTATAACCTTTTGGAGACAGGGTCTCGCTAAGTTTTCCAGTTTGGGCTGGAAATTTGGATCCTCCTGGCTCAGTCTCCCAGAGTGCTGGGATTACAGGTGTGCACCACCATACCTGGCTCTTTTGTTCCTTTTCTGCTGGAGATCACAAATTGTAAATTGACATAGTATCTGTCCTAGGCTCTCCTTAGCCAGCCTGCCTTTGGGTGGGTTTTGGAATGTGGAAATCACCTTCCTCTGGGTCAGTAAGATTAGCACCCAGGTGTGGGGATGGATCTTGGCTTATTTTCTTTCTGATATTACCCATGTTACCACAGCCTCTGGGCTGTTCCAGGAAAAGCCCCCCTCCACTCGCACACACTGGCTCATAAATAGCACTAGCATGGAGTGGCGTGTCTTTGTCTTTGCCCATCATGAGGCACTGACCTCCCAGCCCCACATCATGCACTACTAAATTTGTCTGTTTCTTATTTCATCCTTTCGCCGTAGCCCTCACACAGGCAGTTATGGATCTTGGCCAGGTCCCTGATACTTATCAATAAACGTTACTGTCTTCACCAGTGTCTGCTTCCTTTTGGATTTTTGTGTTTATTTTCATCACTGTCCCTATTCTTTCCATCTGCCCTTTAAATCCTGCCTCTCCTGTTTCTTCCTTTTATTCCAGACCCTCACCTTGCCCTTATCCCTTCATCTTTCTTATGTACTAAAATGGGCCAAGGACCAGCCACACACAGTAAAGGGACATAAGCATGGCAGACAGCAGCATGAATTTGGGGCAATACGAACCACCTTTACCTAATTCTGTCCACTGAGTTTCTATCAAGCTAAAACTCTGGAAACAAAATCCAGCTATGAAAGAGCACACCAAGGAGAAAGACACTAAAGAAGTGTGGATATGTTTGGTTATTAATCCATATAGGTAGAGTAACATTGCATTAACAAAGCATGCAATTGAAACGAGTCAGTTGACAAGCCTGAAATACATTTTGGGAAAAAAAAACTCAATCTTTTTGGGGTCAGTTTTATGGGAATACATATTTGCTCATAGAAAGGGAAAGACTTTTCAAATTGGGGAATAAAAGGAGACTGGACACTGAGTAGCCTAATAAAATTGTCTTAGCATACAAAGATTTTGTTTATTGCTTAACATCTAATATTATATCCTAGCATAACTCTGCTTAAATGGCAATCTTTACAAAAACTGGGCTGCCAACTCCCACTCCAGCAGACACATTCTTTCTCTAAAAGTGTTATCAATCACGTTCTGACCAAACTGCTCAGACTAGGGAGCCACTGCTGTTAAGGTGACTGTACATTTCTATCCAATATGCTAATTTTAATTGAACAAATCTTTCATATTTCTCACGTTGTGGGCCTCTGTCCATTCACAGATCTATAAATTTAAGTTTTTGAAAGTCATATTAATTTGTTTAACTTCACATTTTTGTAAAACTTCCATGAAGTTTCCAGGTTTCAAACAGAGACATTAGCGACCCTTCCCCCTCCTGGCCCAAACACCTGAGCAGAAGAAAGATTTTCAGGAAATCAATTTTTAAGCGTATCCTTATTTGGCATTATCAGCCCCAGGAAAATAGAAACACAGGTTATAATGAACATACTGATACAAAGAGCAATCAGCTCTGCTAACAAGCCATGTCCCAAACTCAGAGAGAGGTGGCCCCTGTACCTTCACCGTCTTGGGAGGAGAGCTTTCAGAAAGGCTGGAGGCTCTGGCATCTGGACTCAGCGTGGGGGACACAGGTGGCTGTGCCTCATTCTTCACCCGCGAGTTACCTGCTTGAGTTACAAAAGAACATTTTAGAGTATCTCACGGGGAGTCTTAGAAAGGGTTCTTCCAAAAAGCAAAAATTGAGGAGTTTCTATCAAGGAATGTAGGTTTCTTTTTTTGGAATGTGTTTTCAGTGCTACAAAAAACACTAATCTTAAAGCACTGTTCTTCTGTTTAAGAATATTCTAAACGAAAAGCCTAGCTCTCAAGTTCTCTCACAAATCAGGCGGCGGCCATTAGGAGGCTTACTCCCTCACCCCCTCCACACAGTGGGAATCTGCATAAAGAACTTTCTGCCCTGTAGCACTTGTTATTTATTACGGCTCTTTGGGGACTCTGATGTCTTTTTGGTAGCTAGCACTCCCAATAACCTCTTGGTGCTTCAGATGAAGTTGGGGAAACGGCAGCGCGTGTGGGCAGAAATCTCACGCTGTATAGGCACGTGTGCTCTGTGTATAACCTCACTGTCCTGTGGTCAGACATGTAGCAGATATCCGCGGACGAAGACTGTGGAAAAGTGCGCCATAACGTTTTTTTTTTTTCATAATCATCAAAGTGCCAACTGCATGAGTTAACTTCCTGCCAGCGTATTCATCCCGTGGAACTCAGAAGCAGCACAGAAGAGCCATTTACATAGCTGCTAAGGAGTCATAAAAAAAGATTCCTTAAAATCTAGAGTTGAGTCAACAAAGTACCAAAAGATTAAGGCTTATTTTTCAAAAAAACTTTTACAAACCTAGTCAAAACCATAACTATTTCTAGCCCAAGTGAAATAACTACAAAAGGAATGTTCCTGGATTCAAGCAGTAGGAGTTTTTCTCTGAAAGTTCTGAGAGTTCATTAGAGATTTGTGTAGCAACAATGCACTGATAGGAATCTGTATATATTTTTTAAACAATGCATTGAAAATTAGAGTGGAAAGTGGACATGATGAAGTAAAAACAAAATATTTTTATCTTTGGGAGGTGCAAAATGATTCCAAAATAGGATGAAATGATTACAAAATTCAACATCAGCAGGAAAACCTCTAGAGCCTTAGAGGGATACTCAAATACCAACGTTTTGCTTTGTTTTGGTGGTACTGGTGATTGAACCTAGAGTCTTCATACTGAGCTACACTCTGAGCCCCCTCACCTTTTTAAAGAGAGGATCTTGCTAAATTGCCCAAGCTGTGCTCAAACTTCCAGTCCTCCTGCCCCAGTCTCCCAGAGTACTAAGGCTACAGGCATGCACCACCATGCCTGGCTCACGTGTCTATTTTTTTTTATCCTGATAAATGAATAAATCCTTCTTGAACAAACCTCTGTTAAAATAAAACTTCAAAATTACTTCACATGGCTTTAAATCTGGAAAAGTTTAGTAAAAAGGTCAGGGTAATTTCCATGAGAGATATATTGAAGTATTCCATTTGTCCCAAGTTAACCATATTTAACTGAACTTCTCTCTAAGCCATGAAGTGCGTGAAGGAAATCCAAGCACCAGTCCCTAAAACTGAGCGGAAGATCCATCAGCTAAAATGCTGGTGTTGGTATGTGACTTTCTTAACACGGACACCTCTGAACCAAGAATGGATGGAAAACAAGACCTCACCCTCCAAAGCTAAGGGCACATGCTTACAACAGGCATCTTCAGCAGGGGTGGAATGGACTGCCAGTCTATTCTCAGTTGCAGAAATCTGCAAAGAAAAAGGGGGTGGGGTGGGGTGGGGGAGATTAAGAATCACATTAAAAATAAAAAAGCAGACTGCTGCTAATGCCATAAAAACCTGCTGACTCTGGGCAGCCACTGGCTGCCTGGGGGAAATAACGGGCACCAGAACAGCTGAGCATTTAAACAAGAGGCAGCAGAATGTCTTTTATGGGGATATTAACATGCCTCTCAATTACAGAGTGACGCGAGAAACAGACCGAGCTCTGCTGCCAAAGTGTGCATCACCTCCCTTTATAAAAGAGCTTCTAAGCCATATCATTCCACTCTTAAAAAATAAAGCAAAACAAAACCCCCTATTAACCTACTGGTTAACAAAGAGAGCAAAGCACACCCAAGCAAGATGAAGTATTTAGACACAAGCACTATTTTTATTCTTTTAATTTTCCTAATTACCATTTCCCAGCCAAATGCACTATGCTGAAGTAAGCTTGCCCACTCGGAAGACTTTCTGATAGCTCAAGAACAAATTTACCTAAAATTAACCTCCAAGAGTATCCTAAACTCCCAGTCTCAGAATGGCAGTGCTTAAGAAGACGGTGGAGCTTATGCACAAGGTAGGTGCTTTTTTCACAGGAGCCATCAAATTTAAATGAAAGAATTCTCTACCGGTTCTCTCTCTTTGCTATTGGCTCTTGGGTCTTCCTGTATCCCCTCCACATTCCAAAAATTACAAAGGGTCAACAAAGGTCAACAGTGTATGCTCTTTGGGTAATATTCCATTCAGATGTTGGATTTTATCTCCATATAAACTGAGTGTTTACATCAGGATGTCTAATGTACTGAATCAACTTACCGTGGATGTTAAGCTGTTGGCTAACTGCACCTGAATGTCAACACGTTTGTTTTTTCTATGCTCTCTTCATTACAAGAACTCTAACATGGTGTGAACAAACCAGATAATAACAGCTGACATTTACTGAGTGTTTGTGATGTGCTAGGTATTGATCACACTAGGTACGTTATTTCATTTAATGATATGAAATAATTTTCTGAAAGTTATACATTTCTGTAAGAAGTTCCTCAGTTTTTGCTCATTTAGTAGGAGCAACCATCCTGGGATGTTCTTTTCCCAGCTCGAATTTAGTCACCCTGAGCCTGTGGGTTATACTTAGTACCAGTTTAACACCAGTTTTGACATCATTGCACATGGCCAACAAGATCACTTCACTGTGCCGGGCGTGGTGGCGCACGCCTGTAATCCCAGCCCTCGGGAGGCTGAGGCAGGAGGATCGTTGCGAGTTCGAGACCAGCCTGGGCTATGAAGTGAGCTCAAGACCAGCCTGAACTGCATAGCGAGACCCTGTCTCAAAAAAGACCAAAAAAAAAAAAAAAAAAAAAAAATCACTTCACTGCAAGAACTTCCAGACAGATTTTGTTCAAACATTTCATTAAAGGAAAGCACAAATTCATTCACAAGAGAAGAGGAAGAACAATACCTTGACAAAATGTTCCATTTCAAGAATAGAAAGTTTGAGGAGCTGGGTGTGGTGGCGCAGCCTATCATCCCAGCCCTTGGAGGCTGAGGCAGGACGACTGCCATGAGTTTGAGGCCAGTCTAGGCTATGTAGTGAGTTTGAGGCCAGCCTGAATTACATAGCAAGATCTTATCTGAAAAAAAGTTTTTCCTAGCACTTTTTTTTTTTTTTAAAAAAACAGGGTCTCACTGTGTAGTCCACATTGGCCTTGAACTTGCAGCAATTCTCCTGCCTCAGCCTCTTGAGCGCTGGGATGATAGGTGTGTGCCACCACACCCAGCTGTCCTACCATTAATATCCTCATGAAGCATGCTAAAGTTCAAACAGTGGTGCTTAGGTACTGGTTAACAAAAGCTAGGAAAGCAGCCAAAAGCACAGGTAGGTTCTGAAAAACATTGCAAATTTTAAGGCAGTGAAAGGTTTATAAACCTGCATTATGCACTTGAAGAATATCAACTATTTTTATCCCTTCTCCCCCACCCACACTCCAATTTGTGATTCAGTTGCACTAATGCCCTTTTAAGCTATAATTAAAATGTTCTGATCTTCCAGTTCAGCCTAGAGTTCTAGTTTGAAATCAGCATGAAGACAATCAAGAAAGAAGCATGAAATTAGATACAAGGACAACCCAAGCATTATGTTCCAGATGATTATTTCCCGAACTATGCTCCTGGGATAAATATGGGGGGAATTTCAATGCTGGGAATATTTGTCCCCTAAATTTTTTTTCAGGATATAAGGCAAGTTCCAAACATTGTTACTCATTACTTTTTTTTTTCCTTTTTATTTTGAGACAGGGTCTCACTAAGTTGCTAAATTGCCCAAGTTGGACTCAAACTTGTGACCCTCCTGCCTCAGCTTCCCACAGTGCTAAGATTACAGGAGTGCGCCATTGCACCTGGCTTCACTCATCATACTTAAAATAGTCTCTCATTGAAAACACAGGAAAACCAGGCAGTTAAAGAGAGAACTCAACACATGTGACCCTTGGACTAATGCAAGAGCCTACTGCTGTAAAATGTGCCCAAATTATTTGCTAATTTTATGATCACATAACACATGACTGTCAAATATTTACTCATTTCAATATGTTTGCGATATTTAGAAAATAATTTACTTTTTCCAATTCATTTTCTGCTCTATGCTGTGAGTTAATTTTTGTGTGTGTGTGTGCTGGGAATCAAACTCAGGACCTTGTGCTTTCCAGGCAGGCGTTTTGTGCCACTGAGCTATATCCCCATCCCCTGTGAGTTAAATTTTGTAGCCCTTAATTGAGAACATTTTTTCTGGGTGCCTCCTTTGATTCAAGTGTGCAAAATTATCTCATGAGCTCCTGGAAGTGTTCTGTCAATACACCGTGCATTAAAAGCCTATGATAGTCAAGTAAGTTTGAACTGGGTGCAGTGGTGCATGCCTGTAATCCCAGTATTGTGGAGGCTGAGGCAGGCAGATTGCCCTGAGTTCAAGGCCAGCCTGAACTACGTAGGAAGATCCTGTCTCAAAAAAAAAAGTTTGACAAGTTTGATTCAGTTTGACAACCGCTACTCAATCCATTTTAAGCATCTCTTCAACTTTTAGAAGAATAATATCAAAGGTATCATTATGTATAACAGAAGCAATGTTTTTTCTCCTAAGATTAATCACAGTAATAGATCATCTCCACATTTATTATATTGACAAAAAGACTGGGAAGGTTTGGCAGAGAACATGATAAACTCATCCGGCATAAATACTGTACCTGCTAAGCCATTCAACTAATGATTAAAGCATAAAATACAAATATGACTTGCTTAAAATCTTCCATGAAAAGAAAAAAATCTTCTGTGGCTTTCCACGGTGGCCAGTCTGTGTCCAAACCCTCGAGAGGCTTTTCCAGACCTCGCCCTGGCCCTACCTCCCCTCCTCTTGCCACTGTTTCTATGTACCTTATTCCAGCCAAACCAATTCCTAAGCAAGCCGCAATCTGGTTTCCGAGCTTGTGCTTGCACGTCCTTCTTTTTCTTAATCTTCCCTTTCTTCACTTGGCCTCTTTCTGCACATTCCTCAGGCCTTGGCTCAGGCAGCACCTTCCCGAGGAAGGCAGGTTCAGCGCCCTGAGTCTCCCTGGCCCTGTCCCCCTCTCACAGCCTATCTTGCTGTTTCATTATAACCAGCCCGTTACTCCTCTCTCCTACTCTTGCTGGTTTCCTAGCACATGAAGAACACTCTGTCTTTTGTTTTGTTTTGGTATTGGGGTTGAGCCCAAGGCTTTTGCACAGAGCTACATCCCGTTTCCTTCCTTTTAAAAAAATTTTGAGACAAGGCCTCCCTAATTTTCCCAGGCGGGGCTTAAACTTGCGATCCTTCTGCCTCAGCCTTTCAGGGTACTGGGATTATAGCTGTGCACGACGTGCATGACCATGCCTAGTTTTGTGTTTCCTTTTTGAAGCTTAGCATTTCCTATGTTTATCATAGTACATAGCTTTCAAATACCTTAAGTGAGGGCTAGGCGTATAGCTCAGTGGCGAGGCACATGTTTATCATGTACAAGGCTCTGGCTTTGACCCTCTGCAGTGCACAATAAAAAACAAGCTCCGAGAGAGTGAATGAGATTTTCTTTTATAAAATGCGTTAAATGAACTGGGTGTGGTAACACACGGCTGTAGTCCCAGGTACTTGGAAGGCTAAGGTGAGAGGATCTCTTGAAAGCACAAGTTCTAGACCAGCCTGAGCAAGACAGCCAAACCTTACCTCAAAAACAAAACTAAAAAAGAAAAACACAAAAAACTGCATTGAAGTGGGCATGGTGGCACATGCCTATAATCCCATCACTCTAGGAGGCTGAAGCAGGAGGAATGCAGGTTTAAGCCCAGCCTGGGCAACACAGTGACTTAATGAGACCCTATTTTGAAAAATAAAAAGGGGCCAGGCATGGTTGCCACCGCCTGTAATCCTAGCACTCTGGAGGCTGAGGCAGAAGGATTGCTCTAAGTTCAAGGTCAGCCTACACTACATAGTGAGACCCTTTCTCAAAAAAAAAAAAAAAAAAAAGGGTTTGGGATGTAGCTCAGTGTGAACACCCTGGGTTCAATCTCTAGTACTACAAAAAACAAACAAGACACTATTAAGGATATACTTAAATTCAGCATATACAAGTACTTTAAAAATAGTATCTGTAATCAAACAGATCTTTAAAAATCACTTCAGCTCCACGGTCTGTGAGCATTTGCTGAGCAAAAGAATTTTCCAATGAAGGCTCATTATCTGGTCAGCTGTAAGTGGCAGGGCTTCCCAAGTGAAATTATGTGACCTGCAAAAATGACAATCTGTCCTGGCAGCTGCTACCAAATTCCCAGACACCCTACAGCCTAGAGTTAAAGCGGCCTCTAATTTTAGGCATCTAATTTAGAACACATGCTTGCTTGGCAACTGGACATCAGGCTTTTCAACCCACCTTTTCTACCTCCTGATGGGAGATGCAGACCTCAGGACTTGGGGGCACATTTTCCTTCTGCTCCAGTTTATGAGTTTTGATTTCACCAGCACAGGTTTTCAACTCATTCTGTTAAACAAAAATAGCCCGTGAATCTTTTCAAAAATTCTTACCATTCCATTCTTCTCATAGCACATCTTTCAAATAAATGTGGAATGTTAAAAAAAAAATTCTTTTCAAAGGCCTCAGGTCAAATCAACTCCCTAAGTCTCACAAGCAAAACCCACTGACCAGTGAAATGACAAAAGCAGCTGTGTGGACACATACCTCAGAGTTAAATATTTGTGTGCTAGTCTCAGACTACACATTAGAATACAGACACATCAGCAGGGACGCACACACAGACACCCCAGCACACCATGTTCTGTGATTCACTCTTCTAGCAGCAGAGCTTGTGGAAATGCAAAGCTTGTGAGTTTTATCAGAAAAGACCATTCTGGAGCAGGGGAAAGGAGCTGCTAAGTGCCAATAATTAAGAAAATATACTGACCATATATATAAGTGCCCGGCCTGGAAAGAGAGACAGGGATGATGTAGACATATGAAAAATGAAATTATTTATTGACACCATAAAACAACCTTGTTCTGTGGGGCTCTATGTTTTTCACATAAAATTCATATGCTGTACAAATGACACACCTTAGTCTACTTCTCTTAATACCTCAACATTAAAAAAGCATGCATCAATATCATCTGAAACTCACTTTGTTTTCATCGCAAAGGACCCTTGGGGGGAGAACAGTAAAGGTAATTCACCTGCCCGGTCTACATAGGGGTGGACGAACATGGACATTTCCTGCCTTTAGCCTGCTAGTAACTCAGTAATCCTGCACCTTTCTGCTCTCTGAGATTGTTTAAGCATGCGAGGAAACGGGCAAAATAGTCACAAGGCCAATGAAGGAAAAGAAAGTGCGACTGCTTTCCTTAGGTCAGGCAATCCCGGTTAAGGCTCCGCGGTGCCCTGGGGGAGTTCTGGCAGCCCGCACTGCAGGACACTGCTGGCGCCCCGGAACTCGCTCCTGACCCACCTCAATGCCCCGCCTCCAGCGCCTCGGCCGGAGGATGTGCTTTGATACAGCTACATTCAGTGATGGGCCTGTGAAATTCTTTCGGGATGACATAAAATGTACTTTTCACAAGAATTCCTAAAGACTTCTCCACTCTTAAGAATCTCCAGGGCGGGGAAGCTGCGGTGCAGAAACTCTATTAGTGGTTTTGAAAAAGTCACTGAACAGGTTTCCCCACCTGGAGAGTCACTTGGACAGAATGTTTGCAGCGGCAGGGCACAGGGAGCTTTGCAGATCACCTGCGTGGTGCATCTCCAGGCCTGCCTTTTAAAGGAAGCCTAAATTTGTTGAATAATGAACCTAAGATATTCTGTTCTGCTACCGCTTTACCCAGTCATCTCTTCTTAAAACTGTGATCGTTAAGATAGCTATACTTCTAACTTCTCTTAGTTCACTGAAAGGAATGGTTTGTGCTAATATTTTCTGGTCAATTTTTAAGAGCCGCATCTTGTACTCTGAGTAACTACTTTGAAGATAACAAAATGCAATATATTAACCATTGTTACTATCCTATTACTTTGTTTTGAAACTTTGTTTCATTATTTTTATTGTTTTTTTCTCTTTAAAATATAAATAAATAAATAAATAAAAATAAAACTACTGTGAAAAGTCAAAGTGAAATCATTCATTGTCCAGAGGATTAGTCCACCAATGGGTATTATTAGAGCACACATATTTAATTTTGTGGAGGGAAAGAGGGCTTAACTTCTGAAATACACATTATGACTTCTAAAATGCATCAGTGTCAATCTGCCTAGGAACAAATAAAATTCAATATTATTCTTCCAGTTTTGTTAAAAAAATTCTGACATCAAGAATTAATTTGAAAGTTTGGGAAAAATGTTTGAAAGAAAAATATGTATACATGTGTTCTTAAAAAGAAAATTTAAAGATATGTGTCTAAAAGTGTGCATATGTGTGTACATATGAATAAATACCATTTAAAAGATAACTTCAGGGCCAGGTGTATAGCTCAGGGACACAGTGCTTGCACTAAAAAAAAGTTTCTACTCAAACTAATAAGACACTTTCTTTAACATTAACAATTAACAGACTAAGTAAAACAGCCAGTAACACACAGAAAAATAAGTGGGGTATGAATGTAAATGAGATAGTAGAGCAAAATCAGAATTAGGGTTACAAGAGGGGCAGGCCTGTCATCCCAGCACTCGGGAGCCTGAGGCAGGAAAACTGCTGCAAGTTCGAGACCAGGCTGGGCTACAAAGTGAGCTCAAGGCCAGCCTGAACTGCATAGAGAGACCCTGTCTCAAAAAGGCCAAAAAAAAAAAAAAAGAAAGAAAAAGAAAAAGAATTAGGGTTATAAGTGAGGTAAGGAAGGCTCTCTGTGGAGAGGATCTGGCTGGGGACCCGTTCCAGGGTCACTGGCTGGAGGAGTGAATGGAGGGAAGCTGCAGGACACATACTGCATAGCTGGCTGAACCACTTTGTTTGGACACAGCTGCCTGGTACTTGGCCATTCGATCCTTTATGGAGGTTTCTGAGAGGCGTGGGAGCTCCAGATTTCGCCTACTCTCATTTTTCTCCAGGCTGAATGCAGAGGACAGCAAATGACCTGGAACAATGCAAATAAGATGCTTTGTTAGAAATAAGATAGAATGTAATTCCATTGGTTTTGAGGTTCCAGGTTTTGGGTTGTCATCGAACGGCCAATTTCTATTATTAAAAGTACAAAGAAGGGAATCAGAAATATAATAGTCACTTATAAGGTAATAGTCACTCAATTTCCTAATGTTAAAAGGAAAACATTTCCCATAATTGAGCAGTGTGTATTTTGAAATAAGTGAAAATTATGGCAATTTAACACGTGGAAAAAATGAAATCTCAATGTCATTATAATGTGCCAAAGGGTGCTGCTGACAAAAATGGATTAAAAATACAAGAGAAGCTGTGTATAGAAAGCAAAGAGGTTTGGGAAAGACCGGCTTCCCTCTCATTAGAATCCCTCTCCCTTTAAAATCACTGGCTTTGCTACGAGTGAGCGAGCGCTTCCTAGAGGAATTCCCATGTGTGAAATTCGCCTCTTACCTGGGCCTACTTCCAAGTCATCCAGAGAATGGCTGTTTTCAGAGATTCTCCTTCCACCTGCATTCCGGCTCTGGGCCCCAAGAATCTGTTTAGAAAACAAATGAAGTTTATATAGAAGATGGAGAATACTTTTTTTTTTTTTTTTTGGCACCAGGAATCTAACTCAGGGCCTTGCGCTTGCCAGGTAGGTGCTCTGCTGCTGACCTATATCCCTGGCCCAAGGGAAATCGGTTTTAAAAATTAAGTTTATTGGTACACTTTAGATATACATAGTGGTCACATTCATCGTAGGGAATTTGTACCTGTACATGATATATCTTGATTTTTTTTTTTCCCATTCCCCTCCTCTCCCCTCAACCCCTCTTTCCCTCTTATTTACAAAAACTTTGTCTTCATTTTTTTCCTTCTATTCTCTTCTTTTTTCTTTTCTCTTTCTTCCTTTCTCCTCCCCCTACCCTCATTCCCCTTCTCATTTGAACATTTTCTTCTTGCTTCCTAATATCGATTATACATTTTGGCCTTTATTTACTCTTTCAATTTCTCACACCAGAGAGGCAATGCAATACTTAAATATGTGTATCCAATTTTTTTTCTTTTTTGAGACAGGGTCTCCCTGTATAGTCCAGGCTGGCTTTGAGCTCACTATGTAGCGCAGGCTGGCCTCAAACTTGTGGCAATCCTCCTGCCTCAGCCTCCCCAGTGCTGGGGTTACAGCCGTGTGCCACTACACCTGGTAAGATGGAAAATTTTGATATAATGTTCAAATCTCCTTTATGAATACAATCTAGAAGAGATCAGTTTGTATTTGGTTTTACAGTCCATAGATTTTTTTTTTTTTTACAGAGACTTTTTAAGTAGCTAAATTGCTCAGGCTGGGCTTGAATTTATGATCCTCCTAGCTCAGCCTCCCAGAGTACTGGGATTACAGGCATGCATCACCACAGCAGGCTGATTTTTTTGAGGGGGGTTGATGCTGGAGATCAAATCCAAAGCCTTGTGCACACCAGGCAAGAGCTTGACCATACCCAGCCCCATTCCACAGGTTTTTAAAAAATATTATAAAAGGTCAAGCATTATCTATTCACAGGTGTCCTGGGAAAAACAAGTAGCACTCTACAGGTAATATCCTCTGCAAAAGATCACTACCCAACCAGCAAAATCTACGATCGAGCCACTGGAGGAGAAAACTCATCCCCGAGGACAACGACATAGCCCTTCAGCCTGATTGCCTGTTTCCCTTCTTCATCGCACTTTCTCCCTGCTGTTGCTTTGCGACACATCTTCAGCATCTTTTCCCTGGACTGGTGCAATATGTCCTCCACAGCCGCTGCCTTACCTTAGCATTTAGTCTTTGTGATGGTGCCGCCATTCCAAGTAATACAAAGCAGCCATCTCAAAACACAAATCTATTGTACTCCAATGTTCAAAGTTCTTTCAGAATGAGCTATCATTTCTTGAATTCAATTCAAAGTTCTTAGCATGTTACAAAAGACCTATTCCCGGGCAGGGGATATAGCTCAGTGGCAAGGTGCCTGCCTGGCAAGTGCAAGATCCTGAGTTCGATTCCTGATTCAAAAAGAAAAACCTATTCCCTATCTACCTAACTTCTTCTCTGGGTATTCCTTGCCTCGTCCTTTACCTTTCAAGAGAAGCAAACTGCTTTGAGGACCACAACTTTGTAAGTAAGGTTCCCTCCCACAGATTGTTTGCTCTTCTGTTGTCTATCCAATGCTTGTTGCTTCAAGACTCGGGATAAGCAATTTCGCGTGGTCTGACCCGCCTCTTTTTACCTCAATTTAGGTAGCGCTTCCGGTGTTCTGAGGGTACCTGCTCACACTTCCACTCAATGCTTATCATGCTATTATACGACTGTCCCTCTAAGTGGTCTGTAAACTCAGTGAGGGTAGATACCACATCTTTTCATCCTACATTTCCAGGATTTAAAAGAGAAGACAGTATAGATTTTAATAAAGTATTTTGTAATTCCTAAAAAAATCCCCACATTTTAGCCAGGTGTGGTGGCGCATGCCTGTAATCCCAGCACTCAGGAGGCTGAGGCAGGAGGATCGTTTCAAGTTCGAGACCAGCCTGGGCTACAAAGTGAGTTCAAGGCCAGCCTGAACTGTAGAGTGAGACCCTGTCTCAAAAACAAAAAAAAACAGGGGGCTGGGGATTCAGCTCAGTGGCACAGCGCCTGCCTGGCAAGCACAAGGTTGTGAGTTCGATTCCAGGTACTGGAAAAAAAATAACAAAAACAAGACAAAAAATCCCCACATTTTATCTCTCATATCTTGAATAGATCTCTAATTAAAGTTACAAATTATACTTTTTAGCACCAGAAATGTAACACAAGAGAAAACTGCTTAGTGTCACAGAACATCCTCAAATAGCACAGAGGGTTATCGTGTAAGTATATTCAGTATGGAAGGATAGCCTTTGCTGGGCATGCTGGTGCACACCTGTAATCCCAGCACTCGGTAGGCTGAGGCAGGAGGACTGCTGAGTTCAAGGCCAGCCTGGGCTACAAAGTGAGCTCAAGATCAGCCTGAACTGCATAGTGAGTCTGTCTCAAAAAAAAAAAAAATCCAAACAAAAGTCTGGAGCTGAATTTATGTCCCCCAAATGGCCAGCTTGCCACTACTAGGAGGTGGACGAATCTCTGAGAGAGAAGCCCTAGCGCAGGTTTTAGGTCACTGGGGTGTGCCATGGGAGGGGATGGTGGCACCCAGACGGCCTGTCTGCCTCCCCCGACACACACAATGAGGGGAGGAATTCTGCTGTGGCACCCAATCCCGCTGTGCTGTGCTACCCTTCCACAGGACGCCTAAAAACAAAAGGTTTGCCTCATCGTGGATTGGAACCTTGAAAACAGTGAGCCGGGGCTGGGGAATTAACTCAGCGGCACAGCCCCCGCCTGGCAAGGTCGTGAGTTTGATTCCTGGTACTGGACAAACAAAACAAAACAAAACAAAACAAAAAATCAGTGAGCCAAAGTAAACCTTTTCTCTTTATAGGTCAATTATATCAAGTATTTAATAGTTACAAAGCTAACATATGGATCCTTCAAATAAATTCCAGATTCATTGGAAATGTTGCCGCACTGTAAAATAATCACCTAGAAAAAACTGCAATTTTCACAACTTGCTATAGGGAGAAAACCTAGAAGTAACATTTTTTTTTTAAAACCAAAAAGAGTGGTTTTGCATTCTTAAAACAGACACATTCTGTCAAAGTTAAAATTCAAGCACAATTCCAAGAGCTTTTCTTTCCTGTTTTCATTTCTTTCTTTCTTTCCTTCCCTCTTTCTTTCTTTTTGTCTTTTTGTCTTTTTGAGGGTCTTGCTGTGCAGTTCCGACTGGCCTTGAACTCACTATGTAGCCCAGGCTGGGCTCCAACTCTCAGTGATCTTCCTGCCTCAGCCTCCTGAATGCTGGGGTTACAGGCAGGAGCCACCA